GAAAAAAAATAGGAGCGCCCCGCCCCGCACCTGGGCTATCCTAAACGCGCACGGGAACGTGGGCTGTGCGTTTACTAGTTGGGGAATAAGGAGAGCAACTAGTTGGGGAGCCTCCCCAACGATCACATGGGGTGGGTTGAGAGGGTGCCATTTGGCACGCTATCAGCCGCCGCCATGTGTTGCGATCTAGGTGCTTCCTCTGAATTGTTTTTATTTTATTTTTCCACCCATGTTTTTACCTTTTTAAATGGTTTTTTCCTGGATTTTTCAACTTTTCAGTTTTTCATTGGTCTTTCTTAGTTTTTTGACAAAAAAAGGAAAAAGAAACTTGCGTGAAAAACATGTTTTTTCCGTGGGAGGCATGGTTTTGCTTCCGTGAGTGTGCCTCTTGGAAACGGAAAAATGCTTTTTTTTTCTTTCGTGAGAGGCATGATTTTGCTTCTGTGAGAGGCACAGCCGTGCCATTTTAGAAAAGGAAAAATAATGTTTTCACTTTTTTTCGTGAGAGGCACGGTTTTGCTTTTTAGAAAAGGAAAAATAATGTTTTTACTGTTTTCCGTGAGAGGCACGGTTTTGCTTCGGCGAGAGGCATGGCCGTGCCTCTCAAAAACTAAAAAAACACGTTTTCTCTTTTTTGTTTTTTCATGAGAGGCCCCATTTTGCTTCCGTGAGAGGCATGGTCATGCCTCTCGGAAACGAAAGAAAATGTGTTTTCTCTTCTTTTTTTCTTCTGCAAGAGGCACGATTTTTCTTTCGTGAGAGACATGGATTTGCTTTCGCCAGAGGTGTGGTAGTGCCTCTTGAAAATGCTTTCGCGAGACGGGTTCGAACTCGAGACCTCTGGTTCAGAGAGAACAATTTAACGCTTGGGCCTTCTCACTTCATCTTTTTTCATTTATTATCTTTCAGTTCGCGAAAAGCCCCGGTTTTGGGAAGCTTCCCAAACTGGGTTTTTTTCGGTTCGCTGGACAGTTTCCGGACAACTCTTAAATGCGCAGACATTTTTCAAATTTGTAATTTTTTTAAATTGAATTTTTTTTCAAATTCATGCACTTTTTCTTCAGAATCGATGATTTTTTTTGCAAAGTCTTGAACCTTTTCAAAAATTGATGAACATTTTTAAAAACCTATTTACTTTTTTCAAGTTTGTGAAATTTTTGCCAAAATCGATGATGTTATTTCAAAATTGATGAATTTTTTTTTCAAATTTGTGAACTTTTTCCAAAATTGATGTACTTTTTTCAAAATCGATGAACTAACCGAGAACTTTTTCAAAGTTTGTGAACTTTTCTCAAAATACGTGAACGTTTTTGGATCCATGATTTCTTTTCTATAACTATTTCTTTCCCCCCTAAATTTTAGTAACACATGTGTATACTGCAACCTTATGTGTCAATGCTGAAACCTGAACCGACTCTGCATCTTCTATGACTGTCTTCTCAACACACAGATGGTCAAGCAGTCTAATAAATTCACTTGGTAGAAAACAACGACATTCACTTCTTTCAAAAAGAACAACATTCAAGTCGAGCAACGAAACTCCTACAGCAGCACGTTCTCCCCAAAATCATACCAACCTCCAGTGGCGAAGATGACGACGCAATGCACCCAGCCTACCTCTCCGCTCCGTCGAGGCACTCCCCAGCCAACCTCTCCCCTCTGTCAACAACAAACCAACGTGTGGAATTGACACGCATCACCCAACACTAACCAAAAAGTCCCACAAAACTGCCAGCTCACACCAGACCCAGCTCATAGAAACGTATGACTCGGTCAAAATCGAAGGTACATGGCAAATCGATGCCTGAATCGCTCCTCGGTGATTTTGCCCCAGGAAGCTTAATGATATACTCCCTCCATTTTTAAATATAAGTCTTTTCTAGATATTTCAATAAGTGATTACATACGGAGTAAAATAAATGAATCTATACTCTAAAATATGTCTACGTATATCCATATCTTGTAGTCTATTTGAAATGTCTAAAAAAACTTATATTTAAGAATCGAGGGAGTAGAAGATTGGCATTGGTATTACACCCTTTTCATGTGGATTTGACATGTTCAGTAGAATTTCTGTGTTTTTTTCCTCTTCTCGTCAACCAAATACACACGTTTATAAAATTAATGTGTTTTCCATTTCCCTATTTCGCACATGCATTCCTATGTATTAATTCCTCTGTTTTCTCTATTTCTATAATTTTTTATATCCTGCAAACAAAACAATCTTTTAAATTTTTATAATTTCAAGTTCCATATCCATATACCCTCTTTCATTTTACCGGTCCGTTTGAGTGTGAGGAGGATGCGACCGTCCTATTTAAGATAGATTGCTGCCAAAATTTTAGATTTTCTTTGGAAAATTATGCGAGAAAACTTACTTGCTCTACGTTCAGAGGACGCACACATGCCCGTTGCTACCAGAA